TTATATTTTGTTAGAGGAAAATGCATGACAGTGGAATTTATGTGATGACTGCGTACAAATAAGCATGCCTAGAAAACAGTTAAATGGAAGAAAAATACCTATATGAAATCTAATGGGCAAATTAGGAAATTGTAGTTACAGGAATTCAGTTGCTACTCAGTTTTTATAGGGAAGCACAAAGAGAACATCAAAATGCCTGATCACACCCCATCTGTTACTACCTCTTGCTGGATAACATCTTGGCTGCCAAAAAAGCTATTTAAATTTACTACATTGCAGCTACTGATAAATATCACTTCTGTGAAGATCTAATACTAAATAAGGACTAGATCTGAGGATAAAACTCACAAGCAGTTGTGTCAAAAAGATCCAAATTTTGCTTAGTATAACTAACACCTGTACTCCTATAAGCCTGCAGTTTCTTATTCCCTGTCTGTGATACGTTTTTAATAGAGCATACAACTGTACAACAATCCTCAAAAGCTGGATCATGTCAACAACAGAGAGAAGTAAAGCTAGAACAGAAAGAATGACATAAAAAAAAGGAAAAGGTACTGGGAGGAGGTGACGGAGAAGAGGAAGGCTACTATTCAACAATTTTGGAGGTGCTTACTCCGGGCACTTTCCACATAGATCTGACAGGCGCAGAATGGTGCCACGAAACTGCCTCCAGCAATGGAATACATTTTCCAGCACATCACAGCAGCTGCAACGGCATCAATTCTGCTTGCAATCCATGTCCAAACAGAAAAGTTCTCAGTGGTCCTATTTCAGCATATCTCAAGGACTAATTAAATCCTCATTACTATCTTCTAATTATTCCAGTGCTCTGGGATTTCACTGAGCAAGTCCCCAATGGTGCATTAGATGAAAAGGGTTAAATAACCTGTGTTGATTTTGAGACTCCAGATCTATTTCAGACCTTTAGCATATCATCAGCATTATCATGAATATTTAACTACGTACCGCTGTGAAAATTATAAGGGGAAAACAATTAAAGATTTTTTAAAAATTAATTCTGACCCATATACATTTGCACTAATAAATAAGGCTTCTTTAAGTATCCCCATTATGAGAGTGCTTGCTAGAGTAATAACGTGAAGTCATTAACTGTTTCCATTAAATTCAATGGTTTTCAGGAGCTCCCAATTCACTATTTTAATGTAAGTCTGAAACCTGACACATACATATCCAACTGGATAAGCACGAAAAATATTACTTTAAAGTAGGTAAGTTTTCTAAGCTTTTTCAAAATTAGGTAAGGAACCATTCATTTCTGCAGGGGCAAAAGCGCCTATTTCAACCTTACTGCGACACATATTCGCCTACTGGTATTTGCATAGGTGAGTATTCATGTACACAGCTGGACACCTCCGTTAGCTTAGAAAAGTAAGAGTGGGAGTACAAGCTAGTGGCCAGGATGGGAGGCTTCTTTTTCACGCTGCAGCTTCAGGAAACTGATTTAGGGGGTCAATTTGGATATGCTGGGTTTCTACTTCATCCACACAAATAAATTCTAACCCACTGAGCAGCTTTGGCTACTAAGCACATCCTTAAAGTGCGGCTTCCGAAATCCAAACAGATGAGGTAAGTAGGTACAGCTGAATACAGGGGAACTCAAGCGACTGTGTACCTCATTTATTTGCCAAATGTTTGTGACAGCTGTGGCATCACCGCTGCCCTACCTCTGGGGGCTGATGTAACTAAAGTTTATAAAAAGCTTTGACTTCAATAAACACGAAAAATCCAAACCCTAGTTTTGATCATGGTGAAGAAAAATCTCGAGCAGCTGTATCAGAAACTAAGAGCAAAACATGCCTCCCCTTTCCCCCCGCCAAAAGCATAGCAAGTTTCAATGACTAGCTCAGTTAGTTAGACTACATTTTCACGTGGTATCCCCAAGTAATGGTAATTGCTGGGGTTCTCCAGCAGTTAAATGCTGAAAAGAGTAGGTGAGCGGGCATGGCTACTCCTGATTCTCCAAGAGACTTCTGACCCCAGCCCTGCACAGCCTGCTCCCTCTGTCTCCAGAGCTCGCCAGCTCTGACAGTCCCTTAAGGTCTATGGGACTTAGTTCCAAGTCCCAGTACTTTCCAAGACACGTGAGCTGAGACATAGGTTATGTACATAAAAGTACATGCAATTTCTTATTGCCTAGGTACACAACGTGTGGGTAGAACTGAAAAAGTTTCACTGACTGGGCATCAAACAACAGTGGCCGGTTACTCATTCTGGGACAAGAACAGAAGTGGACTGCATAGAACAGCACGCTCCCTTCACACCGAGCCAGGTCCAAATGTCCTACAGCTTGAGCAGGGCATCAAAAAAATTTCAAATGATTTTAAAAAAAATAAGCATTTTTATGCTTATTACAAAAAGTATGAAATAAGCTATATAAGAAGCAAGCTGAGAGCGCAGAAAATCCAATCCCCCAAGAAATTCCTATTACTGTAGATAATGTACCTACGTTACCACTCCCCTCCTTCCACACACAGAACGTACATGTAAAAATATGCTCATTGCTTCATGCTGCACTGTGTGACATGGGATGTATAGCCTTAGGCAGGCAAACATAAAAATCCCAGCTGGGTGCTGAGTAACCATGGAAAGTAGGGTAACATATAATCAAACACTTTCATAATAAAATAAATAAGTGTAAACTTAATGGTTGAACATCCAGAAGTGCTACAGCTCAGACTCCACCTGTCAATCAAGCTTCACAATATGGTAAATAACATTTTTTTTTCAAGTATTGAGAGCAGAGGATTCTGCTCAAGAAACGATTAGTAGTCTTTTGTTCATTCAATTCTCTCTCTAAACAGGGAAAGAAATGTCATACAAAGTGCTAAAACGGAGGGTCTCTGGGTTTTTTGTTTTCATTTTCTTTTTTTGGGAGAAAGTGTATCAGTAAGCCAAGAGTTTAAATTACTGTAACAGATGCCTATGGATCAGGTGTCCTTAGCAGCAACGATTTTCTGCTCAGGTTTTTATCAGTAAATGACAAGCACCGTCTCTTTGAGTCCCCATCGCTCCCCCTCCTTCCTTTCTTCAAGTTCAGTGGAAACCAGTTCAAGCAAGCAAAGGAATCAACTAATGTAGCAGCCTTTTTAAAAGGTGAAGTTTTCCATTTCAAAGGAGCCTCTAATCAATGACAGGGCGCAAAAGGGAATGCACGCATGTTTATGCATGTATAGCGCAGACTTTAGAGAAGCTTTGGGGAACATGTTCTGCAAAATCAATATGACCTAGCTAGTTAGAAATTTCATATCTGCTGCATGAAACAAATGAACTTCTTGTACAAGCTGGGTCACAAGGATCATGCACATTACACCAGATTTTGCATACGAAGAGTGCAAAAATCGCAACATTCCCAAATGCATTTTCTCTAAGAACACACCCACAATTCTCACCCCCCACCCAGAGGAAGAACCAGACTAAATCAATCTGTAAATTTTATTTCTCTCACTGTTATTTACTTGTTTGACTTTCCAGTTATGGCAGCTGTCTTCTCCGTTTTACTTTTGAATACTCCTCTGCCTCCCCTGACCATACAGCGACCCTCAGTTTTGTTCTACAGCAGCAACGGAGAGGTTCGATCCTTCCAGCTCTGTAAGATCTGCCTTACTCGCCCCCCAAAGCCAGGTGAGGAACACACACTGCAGAAATAATTATTGCTGGGCAGTCTAATACTTTGTGCAAAGACCCAGTCGTGCCAGGAAACGCGCACATCTTCCCGAGGTGCTCGGGTCTTCAAAGCCTCAATCTGATCCATTCCCACTGCCTTGTGACATTCTGTCCCACAAAACTTCATATGTTTGTACTGGATACCGAGGTCATTCTTTTTTCACCAAACATGTACACTATTCTAAAAAATTTTTAAGGGGAAAATAAGTCCCCACACTAACAGCTGTGTATAAAGAGCAACGTAAAAAGGAAACAAAACAAACGAGTTGAGTGTGGAATTGTGTTCCATGTTCTCATTAATCAGCATTCCTGGAGGAGGGGATATCCAACACCGAAAAATAGCAAAAATTAAGACTCTCTCCTCTTCTTTCTGAGTCCTCTTAGTTCCTCCTGGATGCTATCCCAGAAATTTGTCATTCTGTGAGTTGAACTTGTTTCACTGTGAGAAAACTTCCAGTATTTATGGTATCCCCATATGGTGCTACTTGGAATATTTCTGGTAGCAAGACATTTTAGGAGGGGCATTTCATAAATAACTCCGTGTTTATCACAGTTATCATGTGTCTGTTTTGCAAGCTTGTCGCTGGCACATGTTAACCACTGCATGGACAGGATGCCCAGTTTACAGCAGTTGATCGTGTGGCCACACAACAAAGCTGTGACAACTATCTTTCACGAGCTAGGGAGGAAGGAGGTGCAAGGAAAAGGGCTTAAAGTTTATAAATGGTAACATTACGAAAAAAAAAAAGCTCTGTTTATTTTGTTAGCACTTGCTAGGAAGTACCCTTTTAGAACAGTGCTGTTGCCTGCAAGGTTTTCCCTTGCAAGATTTCCAAATCTTTGAACCATTTGATCTAAATAGTTCATTTCCCTTCATATTTAAAGATATTTTTATTTCTAGAACTGGCAGGAGGACTAGCTATCATGTCCATGCAAAGACATCAGAGATGAGAATTTTAAGAACAGTAGCAAAACTGCAGTGCTCAAAGCTAGCACTATTTCTATACATCTTAATTCCAAGATAGACAACGAAAAGTTGAATTCTCTAGGATATGAATCAAGTATTTACAGCAAACTGCCATTATACTCTGGGCATTCACTGTATTTTGAGAAAGCCTTGTTTCCACTTATATTTTGGTAAAACCTGCTATTCAATTGCTCTTCCCCCAGAGAAGGAAACCCCTTTTACAATGAGGACTGTCATTATTTTCCCTGGGAAAAGAAAAGAAATACCAGGAAATCTCACATTGCTAATGTGCAACTTAAAATGAAGGCTGCATTTGGCACCACTAAAAATGCCCCACCACCTAACAAACCTCGGTCCTGTGGCATTGGTGACTGGCTCAAGGCAGGGTGGGAGCTGGATTCTGACTGGCTGCCAGGAGGCTGCGGTGGCATCTGACTGCCTGTAACACACAGAGAAAAAAGGGAAAATAGACTTGCTTTTAACATTGCAATGCACAAAACCAAGCCTTGCTGCATTTTTCAACCTTTCAATGTCAAAGAAAGTACCAACTGTATAAGGTGAAGACAGAGCTCAACAGGTCTAGCTTTTTTCTTTTTTTTTCTCCTTCTTTTTCTCCTTTTTTTTTTTTCTTTCTGAAGCCCACGGAGGAAACATGCATAAACATATTTAGCAACAGGCATGGCAAAATGTTCAATTTCGTATTGAGCGAGTTCCCAACCTCACCGACATGATCCAATTTATAGCTGCAAATCTCCTGACACATATTTCTGTTAGAGAGTTTAACAAAATCCAAGTCTGCTGAACAATAGGGCTCATCCTGCCGAGCTTAAACTGGCCTCCAGCCAGGCAGACATGGACTGCTGCCAACAATATTACCAATGAAAAATTCAGTCAATACAAAAATGACTAACAACAGTTTAAAAAGTATTTCAATGAATCAGTGGTTTTAATATTATTTGAATGTCCATGTAGAATACAGGAATAAAGAATACTATGTGGTGAAAGTGAAGCATGTTTGAAAGAGACCAGACAGAAAAGGGGTATTTCATTACTCAAATAAAAGTAAAGGGAAGATATTTGCTTATTAAAATACCCATCCAGTACAGACAGACCCATTTTTATGGCCTCATTCAGAACACACCCAACACAATTTGTCCACTGCTGCCTACCCACCCGAAGAAGAACAGCACTCACAGTGCTGTCTGGGAGGCTCAGGACACAAAACGTTCCCTTTCAGTATTACTGGACAGTAACACTGAAATAATAGCTTATTGCACTGATGCAAGTCACTCCTCCGGGTCACCATTCAAGACCGTGTCAAGCATGGGGGGGGTCTATGCTACCACCCCTGCACTGCTACAACACCCCAACGGCTTCGTGCCCAAGAGCCAACCTGCCTCAGCCCAAGCAGTAGTAAGAACAAGGCTTGGATGTCCCCTGGGACTCCTCTCTGCTGCTGCTCTGACACACGCCTGCTCTTGACAGCCCAAGCGGCTTGAAGACCACCTCAGGTTAAGCAGCAAATACATATTTTAAGCATTTAGACACTGTAGTGATGAGTGCGGTATAAATAGCAGCAGACAAGATATCGTCTTCCTCATCGTCAGAAACTGCTCAGATTGTTTTCCATTTGAAAGAAATGGAAAGAATAAAAACACAGGCAATAGATTTGTGCCTGCTGAGACTCATTTCCTCCCGCTCAGCAGCCGCCCCTCCGCAGTGGCGGGAGCGAG